TCCTGCTGGCAGGGTCTGAATGTGACAGTTTATCCGGTGTGAAGCTCCAGCCCTTGTTCCTGCTGCTGTGAGGTGTTAACCTGACCGGCCTGAAAAGTTTTCTTGCATGCCTACATTTTCCTTAGGGCTCACAAACTGAAAACTGTGGAGGGGAGGGCGTTGCACATTTTACTCTAGTGTCACAGGAATTACGGTGACTTGTTGTCTTTGTCCACGTTCACAATCTCTGCCATTGATCGTGCTGTTGTGTGATGTGAATTAGCCACGTAAGTGGATCTGTGTGGATGTAAAGATGTGTATGTGCTTTGAATCCTCTCGTCGTAGTTTCATGGACACTGAGTAAAGGAATGGCAAAGTTCCAATATAAAAAGGTAGAACAGGCCTTTCACCTAGTGTATTTATTACACTTAGTGCTGTTAGTTATTGGTGCTGAGAATAATTTAAAGCAAATTCTAACTATTTAACTTTTTAAAACGCTTTATATTGATGAATTAAAATAATCTTATGTGCTTTAGTCACATGTTCTGCATGGCTGTGCTTTACTTGGTTTGCACACAACATGAAAATATTAATGCTTTAAAACAAAACACAGCTGCTGTGTACTGGAACTTGGTAATATTTCTGTGAATTCTCCGGCTGATGGTAATGAAGTATAGTAAAACCTGCAGTAAGCAGACTTTCTTCAAACATTAACAGAAGGCACATAAATTGAATATGTAGTCTACCTTTATTCATGTTTCTCAGGCTTAACATTAGAAACACCTCAGATTAAGAGATTAACAGTTCTGTTTATTCTTTATAATGCCTTTAATTACTGTAAGCATATCGATTACTGCATGTTAATGTATTTAACTTTCTATTTTACTGTTTGGGAACTATTCTGCTCCTCTTTCTTGCCATATCCTCCTTTATCTTCAGGCTCCGTGTTCTCTGTCAGCTGTCTAAATAGAGTCGCATCCAAGTTGTGCTGCGTGACGTGGCCGACTGCGTGCATGTTTAGAGGCCACTTGAAAAACAAAAAGATTAATTGAATTTAGTCCCCAAAGCCAAATTATTATTTAAACACAAAATCAGCCAGGTAGCTACTAGAAACTACAGACGCAGAAATAGAAACTTACCTGTTCTCTGCATTCGAGTAGTCCCTAATGCTGGTGCTTCACCTTTAGGATCTGCTTTAAAGATCCATGTCCCTGTTTAAAACAGCCAACCAGGGGCCCCTTTGCATTTGGATGGGACTGCTCATGTGAATATTTACCCCAGACCTTGGTGGTGCTGGCTTAAAAATAGATTATTAATTTTAGAGCTTTGTATTGAAAAGCAAACCCAAGGCCTGAACAAAGAATGTTGGCAGTTTCTCTCTTGAGATTCACATTTGCAGCAATACTTCTTTTTTTTTCCTAAGTGGTTTTAAAAAAAGAATAATTTTACAGAAATTCTCTTTGAATTCATACCTAATATATTGCTGATTTACAGACAGTTACAAACAAACTTGTGTGTAGTCATACTATTACAGCACTGTATTTTAATTAGATTTTATTTTGCTTTATTCCCCCCCCATTAATTTTTAGGCTGTTTGCACATTATACTGATTATTCCAGTTATATATCTATAAGCTGCCATTCTGTGTGTATTAGATTATCTTAAATTGCATTTCAAGTACAGATCTTGAACTGATTGTTCTGCACTGACTGCTCAGAAGGGAAAGTTTTTTCTTGACCAGAAGCATGTAATTTCCTGCAAAGTCTGTTTGCAGGAATAGACTATTTTAGAATATTAGAATTTAGTGTAAATTTAGACTATTTTGCAGGAAGAGAATATATTTGCAAGAGCAGAGTATTACACATGTTGCTCATGTTTTTTCTATCTATTCCATTGTAAAGAAATGAAGGGTAATTTCCTGTGGATTCCTGTTCAATAAAAGTAGGAGGGATAAAGGAGGCATAAAAGTAGGAGGGATTTTGTTTGGTTTTAATTGTAGAAATATACTCACAGAATGTTCTTTTGTTTGTCACAGCCTTGTTCTGGATAGATGAAATTAACTGTTTTGTAGACTGTTCTGTTTCTTGCCAGCTTCTTTCCCAAAGAAGCACAAAATGCCTTAAAGTCAATAAGGAAGGATCGCTTTGTAGAAATACCCCTTTTCCACCATATCCAACTTTGGTCAGTTTATTCTCCCTCTCTGAATGTACTCCCCCTTTTCTATAGGATGGGGATAACCAGGCTGAGCAAACAGCGTCAAAATATAGGTAGGAAAATATTACATAAATGTGCCAAGTAGTACTACTGTATTTCAAGTGACCTTTTGGTCTGAAACTTTGCCAAAGGGAGGGGAAAGGAAGCCACTGTTGAATCAAGTTCTGCACAGAGCTCCTGCAAACAGATGGTGTTTGCATATAGGATATGCTGTTTGAGGGTAACTTCACTACAACGCTCTTCATTTTTAATAATTGCAGGCGGGCTAAGCTCCGGCTATATTTGGAACAGCTAAAACAGCTTGTACCTCTTGGGCCAGACAGCACCAGGCACACCACTCTAAGTCTGTTGAAAAGAGCTAAGATGCATATCAAGGTAAAAATATTTATCCGTATTTGTGTTTCTTTTAAGGCAGAGTCTTCCAAAATGTGTATGCATTGAGAGGGAACTACTTCTCACACGAAGTACTTATCCATATGTCCGACCTTCCGGATATATTGCCCTTATTAAATGCATGTATCTCAGCCACAGTGCCAAGTTTGAGTTTTGAAATTTACCTTGTAGTCTCAGATATATAAAATGCTGGTGATTTCTGCTTACTTAATAGTTTACATTATGTTTTATAAAAACAACTTTGATACTTATATAATACTATTTCATTTATGTATTTATTTTTTAAAGATTGAGCAAGCTAGCACTGTACTGCATTGATTCCAAGGTAAAAAGGTAGATCTATTCATGACTGAAGTAGCTAATGGAGTCAGAGGGGTAATAGCCATAGTTTTACCCCATCCCCACATATTGATGATTAGATCTTGGAGTGTTTGACAATCATTTAAAAGAAACCAAAAATAAAATGAAGTATATCCTGCTAGTTACCATTTCGCCTTGCGTGTTTCAGTCATGTCACATCAAGTTTAAAAAAGAACCAGCCAACCCCCGCTCTGCCCTTGTCCCCCCCAACAAAAACTATCACCTGTGATTCAGCAGCAGTGGGGGCTGCGCAGGTAGAACACAGAGAATTCACCCCCGAGGCCTCCTCTCTCCCTAAGACACCATTGTCCCATTTTCGTTTCTGTAGTTTTCAGGGGAGGGGGTTATGTTTGGAAAGGGGACAACTGAGTATTTAAATGTAAATTTAAAAACAAGTTTCTGCTGCAGTGTCCAGACTGTAATTATTCATCTGGCCTTTTTTCAATGTTCTAGGAAAATAGATCAAGAAAAATGAAGTGTCAAGAGAGGTTGAACACTGCCAGTAATCTTGGAATATTTTTGAAAACAGCCTGCTGTTGTGCAGCATGAAGTTATCATTGCAATTGCAGGAATGGTATAATTCATATGAAATATTAGAGATGAATTTAATCAAAACCATTCTTGTCAATAAGTTTATTGTAAACTACTACTTCAGCTCTTGTAAAGATATTTCCTCCAGCTGGACAATCCCTGTTTTTACCAATGGAGATTTTGGCCTCCTGTTTATAATTCAGGCTAACATGCATGAAAGGCACTTGCATGTATTTTTCGTCTTGGTTTACCCCACTATCATGGGCTAATTGAAATACTGTTTTTGCAAGTGGAAAGTGTGAGAGATGGGCCATGTAGTTACCATTTCAGCTCCTGATTAAAAAAAAAAAAAAAAAAAAAAAAGAAAGAAAGCCAAGGGGGAAGAACAGATGGTCTCTGAGTCCATTATGCAGCATATCAAGTAGTTAGTTTTTGAAAAACGAAACTGGAGTTTAGTTTTGGTTTTAAGGTTTTAACTGAACCTACCCTGACTGTGCTGCCACTTACTGCTTCTCTTGGTCAGGTGCAGAGGCTCCCAAATAAGCAGCCGCAGTCGCTCTGGGCCAGGACTGCTGCCTCCCTGGCGCTGCCCTCTGCTCCTGAAGCCTTAATTAGGGTCACCTTAATTAGACTTGAACCTGTCACACAGGCCCCCAAATGCGGAGCCCTGCCCTGATTGATGGGACAATGTTCGCTCTCCTGAATGGGAATCACAGAATGGTTAAGGTTGGAAGGGAATCATGGAGTCCCTTCCTGAAGTAGTTGTTAGAGCTGAGATTCTAGCCAGGGAAGGGGAACAAACAAAAACAAAAAAACAGGGGGGTGGGAGGGGTGAGGAAATCTGATCAATCAGGCATATTTGGTTGGTGAATATGGATGTACCAAACCCTTTTTTTATTATATCATTGTGTATCTAAGTTCAGTTCATAGCTAACGCATGTACTGCCTTGGTGAGGGCTTAAAATGAGGCTACAGGACTTAGTTTTCATTCAGCAAGGGAAGCCAGTTTTTCACAGGATGAATATTTCTGCATTTGGGAACAGCAAAATCTTTGCAGTCATTTGGCTTGTGGCTCCTCTAGGAAACCAAGCACAGGTTCATTCAGACAGTAGGGAGGAGCTGGCAGCAACTGCATTTGCTCCCAGTAAATCTCTTGAAATTCAGTGGACATGTAAATTCAAAGAGAAATTTGGTCTTTCTTACAACTGTTTTTGCTACCAGAACCTGCAATTTACTGAATACAAACCAAACCAAAAAAAAAAAAAACCCCAACCCACACCACACAAAAAAACTGTCTTTTTATCTGTAGTGATTTTTACTTTTTACTTGCTGTGTGTGAATCTGTTATCATATTATACTTTATACTTTCTCCCCCCCCACCCCGTGATATGTTTCTGGAAATGGCTGTCAGTGATTTGGAAAAGGGTTCAGTTGAAATCTTAAAACTTACTATTTCTATTACCTTTCTATCAACAGTGTAGCATATCTTACAGGGAACCAGGTAGTCTTTTTAGTTCCAAAATTAATATTCCCTTTCATTTGAGCTGCAGGGGAAATTTCAGGCAGACAGTGCAAGGATCTTTCATAGGGTATTTACTGAGAAATTTTGAGTTAATACCACCGATTTTGTAGGAGGTTGTCATAGAATTATAATATTTGCTCCAGGTACCTTTTAGGAGAGAAAAGTACAAGAACAAAGTAAATTGTCAGTAAACACTTTCTACTTATATAAATAATACTGCAATATTTTTAATAAAGCTTTAGTGATAAATGATAGAAATATCTACCTTAGCCTAGAGTATGAGAGAGGGGCATTCAGGAGACTCCTACTTGATTCTTTATGGTGGTGTTTCTTATTTCACCTAAAGAAGCTGCACATTTCAACAGAAATGTGAGCTGCTTTTTATTTATTGAGGATGTTACCACTTTTGCTTGGTGAAATGTTTTAAATATTCTCCAGAACCAAGGCTAGAGTAATTCAGTCTTAGCTAAGGAACTGTTACTAGTGGCAGAAAAATCTCGAATGGTTCCTTTTTTGGCATTTATGTATTTTGTTATGAGACAAAATAAATTCTGATGTAGCCAATTCTACTGAATTCAGTAGAGCTGTATCAGTGATTTTGCCTGATCACCAATTCCTGCTTTAAAGTTAGTATGTATGAAAAAAAAATCTTATATTACTTCTGCTTGAACGTCAGTAAAAACTGTTGGCTTATTAATTTTCTCTCCCTCTAAGAAATTGGAAGAACAGGACCGAAAAGCTCTAAATATTAAAGAACAATTACAGCGGGAGCACCGCTACCTCAAGCGCAGACTGGAGCAGCTATCCGTGCAGGGCATGGAGCGAATCCGCACTGACAGCATGGGATCAACAATATCCACTGACTCCGAACAAGGTAACGGAACAAGCCTTCCCAAGAGGGAGCTGGAAGAGCAGGGAGCAAAAGGGAAGCAGGGAAGGAACAAAATGCAAAAATAGTATTTACAACTAAACTGAAGCTTTCAGCAAAATTGTTCCCTTGTGCAATCTGCAGAATGAAAACTTGCTGCATCTTTCTTCATATTCTTTGCAGAAACTTTTTTTTTTCTGATCAGTTTTGACTTCTATACAGCTATTTATACTGTGTGTTTTTTTGCCAGTTTTCTAAACAATTGCCATTTCATTTTCAAAATTTTTAGTATAATGGTAAGGCTGGCATACTATTTTTGTCTTGGGAAAAGCAAATGTCTTAATTTGTGTGAATAAATTAACTCCACATTATTTATTGTGAAATTTTCAGATATTTTCTGAATAAACTAAGAGTTTTCTACATTTGGTTCCCATTTAACCCAGGGCTTTTCAAGCTCCCTGTCACCATTTCTTATGTTCTTATTTGCAGTTTTTCCTGTAGCGGCAAACTCGCATGGGCTGATTTTTTCAGGGTCTGTGGGAGCCGAGTTCAGTCACGGCGCGGTTGCTCCGGCACAGATGGCTGCACCACAGTGGCCCCTGGCTGGCACCTGTGTACGTTGGATTGTCATGAACTCGGCTACGGATTTTGTAGCCTTTGCAGTTCTTCTTTTTTCTTTTTCCAACTCAGAGCCTGCGCACAAGTTGGAACAGTTCTGGGACAGCATTTGGTGTTGATGTCATGCTGTATATTTATGGGCATGAGCACAGAAGGGATTTTAATTCTCAAGTTGCAAAAGGACACTTTCCTTAGTTTCCTCAACTACTTCTCCGTGCTTTATTATTCAAGGAAACACGTATGACTCGAGTTGCACCTGAACTTTACCTGAACTACACAGGCAATGCTGCCCTCTGATACAAGTCGCTGTAACCACGTAATTACTGACAAGGTGCCTTCTTGTGTTTTATTTAGAGGTAGACATTGAAGGAATGGAGTACACCCCGGGGGAAATGGACAGTATTG